GCCCTTCTTTTTCATAGGCTAGGGGGCAGTACCTGTCAGAATGTCCTATAATATCACAAGAAAAGCAGAAATTAGACAACTTCTCGTATTTAAAGTCAACCCAGTGTCCTTCGCCCTGTCCCTTCTTGAGCGTGGTTCCAATCTTAAGGGGTTTTCCCACATCCAAGCAAGCCCTAACTCTCATATACGGCTTCCACTTTTTATCAAACTGAGGTTTTTCCCCAATTGACAAATTTCCCAACAAAATTTCCAATTCTCCTGGCCACGCCCAAATTCATAAAGTCATAAGGAATTTCATGAACCTGAATCCAGAATTCGGCCTCATTCAGAGGAACCTGGAGTGGAACATCCCCAGGCTGCAGTGCCCGAAGGACTAGCAAATTCTGTTCAAAAATCGATGCTCCATCTTCAAGTACACGTTTCATATCTATAGGGTGATAAAACGTAAACATGTACCTTTTTTCGTCAATCTCCTTAATGGAGATTCCCTTACCCGACATCCACAATGAGGCCATAAGATCACGGAGCGCTGAGAACCTCACCATCTTGTTGGTGATCACAGTCCCTACCACCAGATACACATCCTTTTTGCTCGAGTCATCTTCTTCTTCAAACGTTTCCTCCTCAAACACCAATTCTTCTTCCTGATTCCCAATAGCCATATCCTTATATTTATCTGCGATTTCCTCCATCTGCCTTGGTCAAAGTCTCGGCCACCTGCAAAGAAGACAAAAGCCGAAGAACAGATTGTTTCCACCCAAATCGAAGTAGCAGTACGAATCAAACCCAGGCAGAAATCTGCCTTAGCAATTACTAAGCCGAAGCACGACTCTCCCACCACGATCGAGAGGAAAAATCGCGCAAGCAAAAACCCTAAGCACCTAGGGAGACGTCCGCCTTTTTTCTTTTCTTAACCATAATTCTTGAATACGGAATAAGAATCCGCATATGCCGAGTCATGACTTAATCATTAAGGTATATAGCTCTGTTTACTTGAAACTTAATTTAAATGAAGACTTAATCGATCAGACAATTCACGACTTATTCGCTCAGTCCAAATTGTATACTCCTTACGATTCAGACCTGTCGCTTCCTTTAATAACCCTGCCTTCTTCCTCCCGACATTTCATAGCTTCTCCGAGTCGCAGATATACCTTCCGCCCTCTTCAGCATCTAAGCAAACTGATTGCCTTCACCAACAAAACCAAAAGAAACTGGCGAGCTTCGCCGACTGGAGCTTAGCAGCAAACAATTCTCTCATCCCCTTCTCCTCGATCAGTATTCCCTCTCATTCTATATGGGTTTAATTGTATTTGTTTCTTTTTACTATCTATATTGTAGAGTTTCGCGTTTTTCTCAATTGCTCACTTTCTGCGCAATCCAGTTTCGTTTTTTTGTTGTAAATTTAGTCCATTCATGTAATTTTGTTGTAAATTTCCTCAAAAAAAAAAAGACTAGTTTTTGAAGGGCTGAGGGAGTATACACATATATTTTACTTGTCGACATGGCGTAAGCCAATTTTACTTGAGGTTGACTATATTCTTTTTGTGTAGATGGGAAATCGGCTAAGCTAGAATTCCATCACCATTTCAAATTCCTTAAATTGAGTGATTATATTTTGGAAAATTAGTACTATGGTAAGACCATTTGTAGTGGTGGGGAGGCTAAATTGTTAAATTTAGACTCCGTCCATATGAAAACAGTGTTTAGACTCCGTCAATACTGTTTTTTTCCCGCATCCGTGCACCGTCAATAAAATACACTCTACATATTTTTTTACCTACCAATTTAGTAAAACCTTAATTTAATTATTATAAAAAGTATTTTCCTTTTAATATTTTACCTAGATAATTATGAAGTAAAAGATACGCATTTCGATGTAAAAAAAATCACTAACTTTTTTAAATGATTTTTTGGTTAACAATAACTTAGTTAAAATAAAATTCGATTATGGAATATTCACTTATTATTTGTGAAGGCTTAATGAATTAAAAATTCGTGTTTCGTGCTTTTTTGGGTTCACCAAAACTTCAACAGTTAATTTTTTTTTTTTTTTCGTTTTAGGTATTACATATTGGTGTCATATGAAAGATCATAAAAAATCATGAATTTTGATATATTTTTGGGAAAACTGTCAATTTAGCCCCCGTACTATACTGAAAACGTCGATTAGGCCCCCGTACTTCAAAAACACCCAATTGAATCCTCGTACTATTAAAAAACGTTCAATTGAGCACTTTTAGAAGGTCACCAACCGGTTTCCCGGTTAGGTACACGCGTGGCACTCCACGTGGCGGCCCGCGTGGCAGGTTTTATCTTTTTTCTTTTTCTTTTTCTTTTTCCCTTCCTTTTCCTTTCTTTCTTCTTTCTTTACTCTGGTTCTCTTCCTTCGGTCCTTCCCAGATCCCATCGGTCCTTCCCAGATCCCAGGTCGCTGGCCTCCTGCAACTCCATCTTCCTTCTTTTTCCTTTTCCCTTCCTTTTCCTTTCTTTCTTCTTTCTTTACTCTCGCTCCCTTCCTTCGGTCCTTCCCAGATCCCAGGTCGCCGGTCTTCTGCAATTCCGTCTTCCGGAGTACATCTCTTTTTTCCTTTTCTTCATTTTCACGTTGCAACTTCTTTTCTTTTTTATTTTGTCGGCCTCCTGCAACTCCATCTTCCTTCTTATATCTCATTTTTATTTTGCAACTTCTCAAGTTGGGTATTACGCCGGAAGGTTGGTTTGCGGCCGAAAGGTAGACTTCCGTGCTATGCGACGTTATCAAGTGTAACAGAACTCTGGAACAAGAGCAACCCTAGTGATGTCGGCAACCCCTGAATTTCTTCACTGGCTTCACCGACTATGAATGCTCTGTACGCGAAGGGGAAGAAGGATAGAAAAGAAAAGAGAAGGATAAAGAAAAAGAAAAAGAAAATAGAAAGGAAAAAAGAAAATAGAAAAAATGCCATGTGGGCTGTCACGTGGAATGCCACGCGTGTACCTAACCGGGAAACCGGTTGGTGACCTTCTAAAAGTGCTCAATTGAGCATTTTTTAGTAGTACGAGGATTCAATTGGGTGTTTTTGAAGTACGGGGGCCTAATCGACGTTTTCAGTATAGTACGGGGGCTAAATTGACAGTTTTCCCTATATTTTTTGAAGAATTTGGAGAAAAAATAAAAAAGTTATAAGAGTTTAAAATAAAATGGGATTTTAATGACGTAAGCGTGACATCAGCATGACGTCAGCAGAACCATCAACAACGCGCAGCGGCCGCCGCTTTTCTTCTTTTTTTTCTTTTTCCTTTTCTTTCCCCCTGTCAACCCAACCCTCTATTTTTAGCCTCCTCCACTCCCCTTCCCACTTTTACTCCCACTTTTAATCTCCCACTACACTCAATTAAGAGTCTAAAAGTTCCATATTTAATTTTTTGACTCCTAATCTGTAACCACTACAAATGGTCTAATATGATAGAAGTTGATTAAGCCTAAATGCACAATGGGGTGTTCAAAATCCTGAGAAGTCTGAATTGAAATTATATTACCGAATACTATCTATAATGTAATGCAATTATTTATTTAAGTAATTCATAATGCAACGATTTTTTGACATTTTAAATTATCTTTGTCGATAAAAATGTAAACAAACAATATATATTCAGTCCTAGTTCAAACATGAGGGTCATTTGGTCATATTACATAATTCAGACTACTCATTCAGCACACATAGTAAACACTTCGTTATATCAGTGTCACTTAATCCAGACAGATCTCTTAATCCAGACAGATGTCTTAATGCATTCAGGACTTAATGGGAAAAAAAGTAAACAACCCCTAAGATGATATCACTCGAATTAGTTAGAAAACTAAGGATGTTTTTAACTCGTCAGTCAGATTGAATCAAGTCGGACCAGATCAAATTGAAACGAATCAGATCACACTACGACAATGTAAAATAAAAATAGGGAAAACTTTCAAATAGGTCCTCGAACTTTCTTAAAAAAGTCAATTAAGTCCTTCTGTAGGAGATTCTGTCCGGCCGTCGCGATTTGGGGCGGTTCCCGGTGAACTTTTTTGTTGAATTTTTTTGAGCATCTTACTCATCAAGTCTAGATTACTCATACCAAATTTCAGCTAAAAATTCAATTGGGAACGCATTCAAATTAATTCGAGAACGCAAAAATGCGCAGTTATCTTCAAGAATTAATTTGAATGTGTTCCCGATTGAATTTTTATCTCAAATTTGGTATGAGTAAACTAGACTTGATGAATAAGATGCTCAAAAAATTTCATCAAAAAATTTCACCGGGAACCGCCCCAAATCGCGACGGCCGGACAGAGTCCTCTATAAAAGGACTTAATTGACTTTTTTATGAAAGTTCGAGGACCTATTTGACAGTTTTATAAAAATAAAACAAACATTCACCACACCAGACCAAAACAGTTCATGTCACATCATATTAGATTTAAATATATCAGACAAAATCATAAAACATTCTAAAATTTGACAAGGATTTTTTTAGATTGAATCATGTATCGATTCATGTTAGCTGACCCCTATATCTTTTGGGATTAATGCTTGGATGTTGTTGTTGTATGCACGTGTCTCGCGTTATATATTTTTTCACTTCCACACGTCACTAAGCGAAACATATAATAATGTGCGCCAGTAGTTTGTGTTATTAATCTATGTTATCAGACCCGAACCGACCCAGGTGGGTTGACCTGGAAACCGGCGTCCAACTTGGAATACTGGGCCGATTAGGACCACACCCGCAAATCATGAAAACCCGCTTAAACCCGAAGACCAGCCCAAAACTCGGTTGCAAACACATTCCGAACCCACCCGAAACCGACAAACTCGACCATTTTGTTTGTTTTCAAAGTTTTATCTGGCCCGGAACATTCCCGCACTTAAATCCAATGCTTTAATTAGGATGTTTTCTTTTGGACTGAAATTTGCTGGTCTGATCTGTTAAGTCTGATCTGGTAAATGTTTGGTCCCTGTGTATTTTATAAATGGTCTGGTCTAATCTGGTCTATTTATGTCTGGTTTGAGACTAAAAAACAATCCAAAAGAAAACATCACTACGTCAATTGGTTGCACTCGTTCCTTAATTGTTATTATCCTTTTATGTTTCAATCAATATATTTAAGCAACAATGTAACTCATCGATTAAGATATAACAGCAAGTCATAAAAAAGATACTATATTGTACCCGCTGAAGCTTAGGCCTTTAAATTGAATGACCATGAGCTAAGGATATAAAAGTACAAAAGAAGTGGGTAATTGGACCCAGGAACGGATCCAGGATTCTGAGTCAATGGGGGCAAGATTTTTCGTTAGTGTAGAGGGTGAATTGTTTTTTGTTAGTGTAGCGAGGTGAAATTTCCCCCCTAGTGTAGCGGGGCGAAATTTTTTCGTTACTGTAGGGCCATGCGGCTATTTTTATTCAAAAAATGACATTAATACATGCACATCTCGAACGACATTTAAATCTATTACATTCTAAGTTTAGACGATGACAAAAACATCAACCAATACATTTTTAATAACTTTTACATTGTTTAACCTCATGAATCGGTTATTGAATTGTAATTTTTGTCCACCAAGGAGGGTGTTCGTGAGTCATGACTCATGAGAAGTTTTCTTAATATTACAATAGTAGTATACTAGTATGTATGAGATTGTTATTTTTAGAATAATATGCACCACATACACACACATATATATGGTGCATATTATATTTTAATATTTTTTTATTAATTCTATAATAATTTAAAGTTTATTATCCATGCAATAAATTATTTTTAGAAAGCAAGAAGTAAATGAATTATGTAATCTAATGTCTATAAATATTTATATTTTGGATTCATTTCACGTGATCTAAAAATTGTGTAATTAGTGTGTCTGGTATTTAATATTGTTTGATATATGTTGATGGACAGTGTACCCGGGGGTATCTTATCCGAGGGGTTATTATGAGAATAACCTAGAGGGAAGTCAGAGCAAACAAGTAAGAGAGAGAGAGAGACGATTATATTAATGAACTCGAGATGTTCTGGTCCTTTACAAGAGGAATATTGCTGCTATTTATAGCAGCAATAAATGCGATGAGAGTACATGTGTCAGCAATCTAACGGCCGAGGGGTCACCTCAATCGGGTGGCACTGGCATTCGCATGTGCACCGCATTGAACGCGGTGGGAGGATGTGACGCTGCATTAAATGTGGTGGTTGCTTGTCTCCAAAGGGAATCTTCGATGATTGAGTTATTGGACGAGGGCTCCCTCTGCGACCGAGGGCTCTGTGTAGCCGAAGGCGTTGTATAGTCGAAGGCTTCCCTGATGCCGAAGGCACGAAAGTGCCGAAGGCTCCCGTTTTCTGCCATTTTCTCCAAGTAGCTTTGTATGCTCGAATCTGGCTGCCCTGTGAGTTCTGGAGCCTTCGGCCATATTGCCGAAGGCTACACTGGGCGCACCTTGGGCTCCTTTGAGCTTGGGCCGTTGTGTTTTGGGCCTCTTGTGCTTCTTGGGCCTGTTGGGCCTGTGCCAGAATAGTAGGAGTCTGTGGGCCGGGGGTTCCCGGGCCATATACTCCATCATATGTTTTACAAAATCCAGTACTTGTTATCTAATAAAGATAATTAAACATTACAAAACTAGGAATTCTTATATAATAAGTATCCTAAATCTTAAATAACGAGTTACTCTATTGTTTATTTGTTTAAGTTTTGTAAATTATTTTAGATGTTTCTTCTTTTAAATCTCCAATTAAGTATTACATTATGTAAGACTATATACTAATTTTGAAAATTAAAAGCTAAGGGGGGCGAATCTAATTAAATTATGAAAGTTTTATGAAAATCTTACATATATGATAAAAAAAATTGAATGTCCAAGGGGGGCGGTGCCCCCCCCCCCCTAAATCCATCCCTGATTGGACCTAAAATACATTTTGTTAGATCTATATAGCTTCGAAGCTCAAAGTTTCAAATTCGCTATTCCTTATACCACATTGTTTATAGGGATAAGGGTCAGTTTGGTCCTCGAAGTTGCAAAAAAGGGGTCAAATAAGTCCTTATATAGAAAATTCTGTCCGGCCGTGCCATTTGAGGTGGCTCCCGGTGGAATTTTTTGATGAAATTTTTTGAGCATCTTATTCATTAAGTCTAGTTTACTTATACCAAATTTCAGATAAAAATTCAATCGGGAAGACATTCAAATGAATTCTTGAAGATAACTGTGCCGTTAAAAGCGCTGTTATCTTCAAGAATTCATTTGAATGTCTTCCCGATTGAATTTTTAGCTGAAATTTGGTATGAGTAAACTAGACTTAATAAATAAGATGCTCAAAAAAAATTATCACAAAATTCCACCGGGAGCCACCTCAAATGGCACGTCCGGACAGAATCTTCTATATAAGGACTTATTTGACGCCTTTTCTGCAACTTCGAGGACTAAACTGACTCTTTACTCATTGTTTATATATCAATTTAGTATTTAAGAATACTAATTCTATTGATTATGTTCGGTTTTAGAATTATCAGAAAAAAGAATTATTTTGTTGTTAATGTGTCTTCGAATAGTCTTTCCTTTTCTGTTAGCTGATTCTTTATTGGTCAATTTATTATCTTTTAAGGTATCAAAATATTACGGATGAAGTAACCAATTAACTACAAAAAATATTAACCTCACTAACACAATTGAATTTTATCTCTTAGGAATTTTTACAAACATGTCATCTTCAATCTGGATGCATTCAAAGTTACCTAATATGGTGCAAATTTGAAACTAATTTCAAAGCAATCTGATGCAAAATTGCACCATTTGCTTTTTATTATTTTAAAAGTAATCTTTACGGCTTCTATCTACTATGTGTATGTAAAAAAGAACTTTAATCACAGTTTTTAAGGGAATAAGAAATAAAAGATTCATCTTCATCAAACCATATGCAAATTGAAAAGGACATAATGGAATGCACTCCTGGGGGAGTGGGGGTACAGTGTCAATCATATTAGAGGCTACAAAAAAAGATTAGTGATGCAAGCATATAATTAATTTAAAAAGGTTACCATCAACATATTTCATGCATACATAGAAGCTCCAATTTTTGATTAGTATTTTGAAGGGTTGTCTTGTACAGTCGTGCTTGAGAGATGAACCAAAACTTCATTAGATGCTTCATATTTGGAA